CTTTTTTTAAATAATAAATAATTAATTTAAAAAAATAAATAAATATTTGTGACATGTTTTTATTTATAATAATTATCGTTAACTTTGCATTATATCTAATCTTTTCTTTTATTTTCTTTTCAGAAATCAGGAACACCAGAACATTATGCAGTCGAACTCGTTGAACTCGTAATAGTCGCCCCCTGGCCCAATTTAAAGGGAAGAAAAAAGGTGAAGAAAAAAAAAAGAAAGAAAAAGGAAAAATTTAGAAGAGGAATAACAAGTATTCGGGGGAAGGTAACGATAGATGATACAAAAAATGGCATCCACCAGTGGACACAAAAGGAACGGCTCAAGTTCGAGCATGTTCGCACACAAACGTACCGAATCCGGTGGTGGTTTTATCGGACACAAACGTTCTGAAAGCGGTCACAAACGGGCCGAAAGCATATCCAGTGCCTTTGGCCATAAACGTTCCGAAAGTGGCCACAAAAGGAATGAAAGTGGCGGTGGTTTTGGCCATAAGAGGTAATTATTAGCATTTTTTTTTTTCTTTTTTTTTTTATTCATTATACTATTTTATTTATGTGTATACATATTACACATGTTCGAAGAAATAAAAATCTAACGATCAATGATTTTTACCCCATAATACGAACACGCATACGTTTGTTCAAAATTTCTATCATTGACAAGGAGACGGTCAGTAAATTCCATTTCAGTTTTTTTTTTTTTTTTTTTCTAATTTTGCACACTTGTAATACTACATGAGAAAATTCATTCTACTGAAAACAAGTTACGGATAGTTATCCGTTTGCGAAAAAACGCGGATTGAAATATCACATAGATATATAGTTTTTTGGTTGGAATAGTGTAGTGACTACAATAGTGGTCTGTGTGTGTGTGTGTGTGTGTATTTTGACATCGCCGATACCTATATCTTATCTTGACAGTGCTAGCAAGTATGTTAACATTTCTTTCTTTCTTTTTCTCGAGAAACATTTCAAAGAAATATCAGAGATTGTGCAATGCTGTAAATTGTACAACTTTGTTATTTGTTTGAAAAGTTTTTGTAAATATTTTTTATACTTAGAATAAATAGATTTTAATGACTCTTATATTAGATTAAAGTACACTCTTTTGTCAACGTGTATAATATCTTATTAAGTTATAAATCAATTTGCAAAGGTTCATAAAATGTCAGAGAATGCAATGCTGCAAATTGTGCATCTTTGCAATTTCTCTGAAATTTTTCGGTAAATATTTATTATACTAAAAGTGAATAGATTTTAATGTCTACCATATTAAATTAAAGTACACTTTATTACCTACGTGTAGAATACCTTTTCGAGTTATAAATCGATCTGCAAAGGTTCATAAAATGTCGGAGAATGCAATGCTGTAAATTTTACTACTTTGCAATTTCTTTGAAAAGTTTTGGTTAATATTTTTTATACTTAAAGTGAATAGATTTTAATGAAACTTACATTAAATTAAAGTACACTCTTTTGTCTACGCGTAGAATACCATATCGAGTTATAAATTTAGCATGTAAAGTTAAGAAAATGTCAGAGAATGCAATGCTGTAAATTGTGCATCTTTGCAATTTCTTTGAAAAGTTTTGGTAAATATTTTTTATACTTAAACACTACACAGATTTTAATGACTCTTATATTAAATTAAAATACACTCTTTTGTCTACACGTAGAATACCTTTTCGAGTTATAAATTTATTTGCAATGTTAATTATTATATATACAATTTAATATATATTTCCTTTTGTTTTTTTTTCGTAAATCTACAAGTTTAAATATTATAATAGACGTAAGATGAAAAAGAAAAAAAAAATCGATTTGCCATAATTTAAAATAATATTTCAACTTTGGAATATATTTTAGGAAAACGGAAACAAAAAAAATACGCTTATCATTTGAGAATTTTATCGACAATGGTGTAAAAAGAAAAGAACAAAAATATAATTCACGCGAAAAAAAATATATAACTTTTTTGTTAAGCTACGCGTAAACGACTTTGAAGAAAGAAAGAAAATCATCTTGTTCGTCGCATGACAAAGGTTTCTAAAAATTTCGCATAAGAATAAGGACACCCTTTTTATGGGGTAGGTATAACCACGTTACTTGGAATAAACGAGAGGGGAAACGAAAAGACGAACTTTTTTTTTCCTTCCTAATGCACTATTATAATTCGGTTACATTCAATTGGTCGATAGAATAAAATGCACGCGTGCACAATGTTGTATTTTTTTTCTTTTTTGCGAACTCGTTCCAACGCGAACATTAATCCGATCGTTCGATGTGCATCCTTCCCCCCCTCCCCTCCCTTTTCTTCTCCCCATGGTGTTGCAACTTCGCGTTGCGTTACACTGCGTTGCATTAAACGAATCTCCGCGAATTTTAAAACGATTTTCTCGAAAAATGTGTTGACACAATATCCTATCGTAGGATACTTAAATTACTTAATTCGATTAATTTCGACGGGGTGGGGTGGGGTGGGGGGGGAGCGGGAAGGGCTCGTAAAAGCGTAATTCGTTTATACAGGATGAACCGTTCGTGCGTGTCGTTAAAGAGTAATCGATCCTTTTTTTCTTTTTCTTTTATTTTTTTTATAGATCGACCAGAAAAATCAATCGTGTTTCGTAGCACTTAAACGATAAAAATGCGTTTCACTTTGAAACTCTTCGTGCATTTGTCGCGTTATAAATTATTTTATAAACTGCATAATGGATTTTTTTTTATTTCCTTTTTTTTTTTTTTTTTTTTTCTTTTTTTTTTTGTAAAAAAATTTACTTTGGAAATTATTCATTTTAAAAAACACACGCGTACTCTTGACTCGTCCTAATATTTTTGTCAGCAATCAAAAAAAAATCGGATTCTCTCTCCCTCCCACCCCCTCCCACCCCACCCTCTCCCCAAAAAGAAGAAATGAAAGATATAATAAATAAATAAATAAAAATGAAAAAGATTTTGTTTCTCGTTACACACAAATAAGGGCATCCTCCTACGTGAGTTAGTTTCCATTACCATCAACAACCAACCAACCAACCAACCACCATTACTTTAATTAACGTTCGATTTAATATTCGTCTCACGCGTATATACCAACGATTAGTCGTAATCTTTTTTTCTTTTTTAGGTCATCGTCCATTCCACTGACTCGTTCTCTTTTTCTTCTTCTTCTTCTTCTTATTCTTATTCTTATTCAATCTTCTTCTTAGAATTTACGTAACTAAATATATGTCGAGTAGGAAGAGGAAGAAGAAGAGGGGAAGGAATTGAGAGAGAGAGAGAGAGAGATAGAAATAGAGTAAATAAGGAAATATTCAATTATTTTTCAAGTCATACGAAATAATATTTATCATTTTTAAATTTTTTTCCTTTACTTTAACGTTTATATATATGTGTGTGTATTTTTTGTACGTTTATGGGATTGCACCTAAATGCCGTTGCACTGTAACTAATGCAACTTCGATTTCTACGTGAAAAGAAATTCTAAATAATAATAATAATAATAATAATAATAATAAAAGAATAAATATCGTCTGTTCGGTTAGTATTTTGTCGTCTTTATATATAGTGTGTAAAAAGAAAAGTAACGTAAAGAAGGGGTACTCTTATTACTGTTCTCTGACATGTAATACAATCCCTTTGCTTGAAGGGAGTCTTGCATGACATCCATGAAAAAAAGCAAGGTTTTAAAGTCCCTTTTTTAGACTATCCCTTCAGTAATAGTAACAGCAACAGCCAACAGCAGGAGACAGAATGTCCTGTCGTGCTATTCGACCTTCCCTTTTTGTTTCCGCAATGCAATCGATACCAACAACACGTCGAATTCATTTTCCATTCCCCAGTCCCTGCTGGGTTTTATTTTTTTTGCTTTCATTATTATCCTTTATCTATCTCTTAATTTTATCCTATAAAAGTACATATATATATATGCGTTGAATAAATATAATTAACATGAATTATGGAGACGTATGTGCGTGTGAGATGCGTCTGAGTTTAAAAATTGTCAATGTCGACTATAAACTACATAATACGAAAATTTGTGCTCGAAGTAAAATCCAAAAACATACGCGACGTCATTTATTATATTTGTTAATAATAAACTTTTTTTTTGTTATTTTTGTAATAACAAATATATATATATATATATATATAATATAATTATATAATATTATTATTTCTTTACTATATT